CCCCAAAACCCCAAAACCCCAAAACCCCAAAACCCCTTTCTCTTCCAAACGACTGCTCTCCACCCACTTCTATAAAATATTAATTCCAAGATGTCTAAGGAAGAAGAGAAGGCTTATTATAGGATTAATGAACCTGACCCTAAGGAAGAGGAGGCTGACAGTGAAATTACCACTGGCAAGAAGAGGTCGAAGAAGAAATTGTATATTGTTATAGGATGTGTGGTCTTTGTGGCCGTTGCAGTCGGGATTTTGCTCCTGGTGCTGTTCTTAGTGGTAAGTACTTGGATATTTCTAGATTTGTGGTACTATTTTAGATTTGGTAGGTATAATTGTTGATTTAGGGTAGAGCAAAGAGGCTCCCTTCAGGATATAATGGATTTGTACAAAGAGAAGCAGCTAATTTAAGATACTCATATTTTGCTCACATTGTTCGGGAGAAGGACATCGACTCACCCATAGTTTTTGACAATGATACCAACCCAGAGTTCACTAACGTTGATTTTAACATTTGCATGGTCACTCAGAGATCTTATAGGTGAATTTTAAAGCTGTCTCAATCTAAAAATGAGCATATCTTAATTTGGATTTTATAGATTAACATATCAACCAAGAGAGGAACATCTAGATGGCCAACAAAGATGGACAGTTCCTGAAAACCTATTCACAGAAAATGAGTGCGATCCTACTTTAAGGCTCAGTTTTGGCGAGTTCCAGGTCGATGAAGCTCCTTTTGGATTTTCTCTGAAAAATCCAACCCATAAGAACACCTTCTGGCTGTCTACAAAGGATAGGAACCTACTACTATCTGACAAATATATGGAAGTTGGCTTTGAAGTCCACTCCCACGAAATTTTTGGATGGGGAGAGAGGACAAGAGACTTCTTACTTAATGAAGGGGAGTACACAATCTGGCCAACTGGGGTCAGGAAGGAAGTAGACCCTGGAAAACTTGGGTACAATACCTACGGAGACCACCCATTCGTCCTTGCTAGACTCAAGGACAATACTTTCTTAGGTAATCATTTGGTTGATTTGTATCACCAGTTGTTATAATTTTGAAAAATGTTTGGGCTATGATATCATAAAATTCCTTTTCTTTTCTAATTTACTTTTGTTAGGTTTTATCCAACCAACCTTTATGATCTAACTTACCATTTATCCTCTAGGTTTGTTCTTGAAGAACAGTAATGCAAAGGTAATGAAATTTACAAAGGAGAGCCAGGGAAGATCCATCATTAATTTCAGAACAACTGGAGGAATCCTTGATATCTTTGCCTTTATGGGAGACACTGCTGAGCAAGTTTTGCAAGAGTACCACAATGCTATTGGAAAGCCAAAGCTTCCTCCTCTATGGGCTTTAGGGTTCCAGCAAGGCTCAACTAGCTATACTACAAGCGACATCGCAATGGAATCTGTCAGAAAGTACAAGGAAGCGGGAATTCCTCTTGAAACATTATTTATTGATGAAAATTACATGAAGGAGTACTTGCCATTTAATGTGGATACTAAGAACTTCAATATGAACAAGATGGTGAAGGAACTACATAGTAACAACCAGAAGGTGTACATGTCTATGCATGCTTGTATTCCAGTTTATGACGATAATGGAAATATCTATTCATACTTCACTCAAGGAAAGAAGGTCTTTATCAAGTCTGCAACCCAAACTACTGATTTTGCAGGAGATATCTTGATTGGAGATTTCTTACCAGGAAAGTGCGCTTATGTTGACTATCAAAACCCTGACTCGTATGAATTCCTGACAGGCGCTCTTAGAAATCTCTGGAATAGTTTCAATTATGATGGCGCTCAGTTTAATTTCAATGAGATTTACCAAAATTGTGATGGAGAGTGTCCTACAGACGACCCAGAGGAAGTCTCGGGAAGATTTGATGATTTACCATTTAACCCTCTTGGAGAAATGAATGGGCTGACATTAGAATCAAATACAATTTCTTTAGACTCAAGGATAGGAAACCCTCCTGAAGAAGGATTGGAAGACGCAAGTGTCACTTTCAATAACAAAGGACTTTATGGAACTATTCAGTCATCTTATGCTTCAACATTCTTTCAGTATGGGGTTGGCTCTCGACTCCAAGGAAAGAGATCATTCGTGTTGTCAAGGTCTACCTTCCCAGGAGCAGGTACAGAAGTAGGCCATTGGCTTGGAGAGAACAGAAATTCTTTCCAGGAGATGAGGCATTCTATTTCAGGGATACTAAACTTCAATATGTTTGGTATCCCGCTTACTGGAGCTAATGTTTGTGGTAGTTTTGGGTATGATAATGAAGAAATCTGTGCAAGATGGTACCAATTAGCCTCAGTATATCCCCTGTCTAGGTCTTACTATGATGGAGAATTTGGAGAAAAAGAAGCATGGGGTTTTAAAAGAGAACATTATCTTGAAGGAGCTAAGAACGCTCTGACTCTCAGACTAAGCTTGTTGAGATATTTCTATACTATATTCTTTGAAATCAGTCAAAATGGTGGCACATTCTGGAGACCTCTTTTCTTCGAATTCCCAGAAGATGATGAAGCTGTTAAAGATGTTGAGCATACCTTTATGGTTGGTAATGCATTAAAATTCACCCCGATCCTGCAATCCTTTGATGGAGAGCATAAAGTGATGAGCTATTTCCCAAGCAACTCTAGATTTATTGATATTGTAAACTTTGAAATTGTTGAGGTAAATGGAAATGGAAGATATGTAGGCCTTGAGCCAAGATGGAACTTTCCTCTGATCCATTTGAGAGAAGGTTCAGTTATTCCCTATCAAAAGTTTGGTGAATCAATGACAACTGATGAACTTGTCTCTGAGCACTACACTCAGCTATTGATCTTCCCAGATAGACACTTGAATGCTGAAGGTACTCTTTACGTTGATAGAGATGGAATCAGTCTGAGAGAGATTTATACTCACTCTTATGAGTACTATAGAATTACTTTCAGTGACAAGATGATCAGAATTGCTCTGATAGATGGGTATGATGCCTCTGGAAAACTCGACATGAACCAGATTGTTAACAACATCACTATTGTTGATGCTGAGAGGTACAACGACACTGATTTTGCATGCATTTTTGATGAGAATATGGATTCAACTCCTATAGGTTTTGTGTATAATGATGACACAAAGACAATTAACTTTATTCCTAAAGGAGATGATCAAGTGATTGAGATTAGGTCTACTAGAGGAATTCAATTTGGGAATTCCCAAAGAGATGAGAGCTTCTGTAACCCTAAGTATACAGTTTCCTATATTGTTTCGGATGAACAAGGTGAATATGCCAACAAAAGAGTAAAAGTTAGTGTTGATGCTACTCATGTCGATATGAATTCATTTGATGTTTACTTCTATCTTCTTAAAGATAACTTGATCAATGTTGACTTAGTGCCATTAATTGAGCCTGAGCCATTTAGCATCCCTGGTGAAGTTCTCAATGATACTCTTTACCCTGACCGTAATTCCTCTGCTACTGAAAATATTATGGATTATCTGAATCTTCCAGATGTTGGGGAAGACTTTTACTTTGAGATTCATACTAAGGGCAATAAGAAAGATCTGATATTTTCCACGAAAGGACAGCCCTTAGTCTATACCAATTATTACAAATCAATGGGAGCCCATGTGTACGGGACCAAAATGTTCGGAATCGGCCAAAGGATCGGAGAATTCTGGAAAACTGCTGGCACTTATGCTGTCTGGAACAGAGGCGCTGAACATAAGGTCGATGATGGGATTAACCCCGGCAAGAATCTCTACGGATCACACCCTGTATACTTCGTTCAGAGGAAGAAAGGAGGCAACGACTGGGTTGGTATTTATGAGCATAACTCAGGTCCTCAAGAATTTGTTGTAGATTTTGATGGATACGGAATTGACATCACTAATATCAAAACTACTGGAAGAACTAACATGTTCTTCATGCTGAACGAAGAAATTGATAAAGTTATTTCTAACTACTATGACCTTGTCGGAAGGCCAGCTCTACCTCCAAGATGGGCATTCGGATGGCACCAATCCAGATTTGGATACAACACTACAGATGTTCTCAGAGAAGTCCATCAAGGCTATGTTGATGATGAGTTACCTTTAGATGGTCTTTGGAGCAGTGTCGATGTTCTCAAAGATTTCAGATCATTCACAGTTGATGAAGAGAACTTCGAAGGAATCAAAGAGTTCATAAATGAAATCAAGGAGAAAGGAACTAGATATGTTCCTATAATTCAGTCAGGGATTTCAGCTGGAAACAGTGACGCCTATTTCGACGGAATCAAAAATGATGTCTTCATGATGGCTCCAGGAGATCAATCAAACCCAATTATAGGAAGAAGTACAGCTGGAGATGTTGTATTTGTTGACTTCATGTATCACGGAGCTCCTAATTATTGGGCAGAACAGATGAAAAAATTGAACGAGAAACTTCCATTTGATGGAGTCTGGCTTGACATGAATGAGATTACTAGCGAATGTGATGGATACTGCTACAGGAATCAGAGAGCAGAAGACCCAATAGACAATAGGCTCTTCTACTGGCCAGGAGGAAGAGATCTTGAGCAAGGAACTGTCTCCATTGATGTCCAACACGAATTTGGAGCTAAAGGTAAGATAGAAATTTAATCTTTAGAACTTGATACCCATTCACTTTATGGATTCTGGCAAACTTATTTTTCGAACAGACACTTTACTAATTCTGAGAGAAGACCTATGGTAATCAGTAGGAGTACATTTGCTGGATCAGGAAAGTACGGAGGCCACTGGCTTGGTGAAAATGAGTCTTGGCATGAAAACATGAAGCAATCTATTGATAGCATCCTTCTCTTCAATATGTTCGGTATTCCATTTGTAGGAGATAATGTTTGTGGATTCAAATATGATGTTGGAGTAGGAACATGCACAAGGTGGTATAAAGTTGCTGTTATTTATCCATTCTCAAGGAATCATAACAATTTTGGAACCGACCCTCAGGAACCATTCATTGACACATTTGATATGATTATGGACAAATCTCTTAATGTAACAGCCACTCAAATAATGAGAAAGGCAATGCTGACTAAATATGGACTGCATAACTACATGTACACTCAGTTCCATATTGCATCGACAGAAGGTAGAGCTCCAATCAAGCCAATGTTCTTTAATTATCCAAGCGAGCCTTATTCCTATGATTATGTGAGCAACAGTGTTCTTGTAGGGGATGCGGTTCTTGCTTCTCTAGATCACACTAATGGAGGAAGACAGTATTACTATTTCCCTGGAAGAGGCGAAATCTGGTGTCCAATTTGGAAGATTGCTAAATACGAATGCCTCCAAGGAGGCTCTAGGACCTCATCCAAGATTCCTATTGATGAAATCTGGCTACACATCAGAGCTGGGCATGTAATCCCACTGCAGTTAAGCGATGTTGATAAATTTGATAACATTACAGGATTGAGAAGCTTAGATGACATGGCAAATTATTACACTGATATCGGAATTCTCCTTGATTCAGATAATGCAGCTGATGGGGTCGTTAGATTTGATGATGGAGAAACAACTGATTTAGAGCAATATGATGAAATCAAGATTCATGCTCAGGGCGATATACCATGGGTTGGCAAAAACACAATAGATATCGAATTTGAGATAACGCATGAAGGAACAACTGAAATTACTAATTCCCAGAGAATAGGACACATTCTTCTGTACAATGCGAAGAAGCTAGGATTTGTGAACAAAACTAAGGGAGAGATAGTTGATTATGATTATAACGTATTTGACGTCCTAGTAGAATACGATGAGAAGATGGATATGTCCAGAATTTCATTTGCTTCTCCAAGCGCGTTGCCAATCAAGAAGATCAGGAAGGTGCATCTACAACAGCCTTACTAATTTTGGTTAATTTGGTTGCATTCAATCTGGGTTGGACCAATCGGGGTTTTGGGGTTTTGGGGTTTTGGGGTTTTGGGG